GGTCCTTTTGTCATTGAGCGCATAATCAATCCCACCGTTGTTAAACTGAAGCTGCCCCCGTCTTTGAATGTCCACCCTGCCTTTCATGTGTCTCTCCTTAAATCTGTTTCCACGTGACAGAAACTTGTAAATGTACCGCAATATTACTGGTATCAAGCTTGATTCCCTAATCTGCAGAATTGTAAATATTGGTTTTTTGTTGTTCACTATAAGCACTGTAAATACATGGCACCAGCCACTAAATCATAATTTCTGACTCCGTATTATTCTGTCACGCACCTCCCAGAGCCGATACCTTCTTCTTCTGATCTAGCCTACAATAATCCTAATTTCCTTTTGGCAAGCATCAGCATATATGCTACACAGGGAAAGCATACATGGAGCGACATAACCAAGTGGCGGGCATAGTGTACAGAAACATCTGTGCAGAGTATGGGCTGGAGACCCCAGGATCAAGGTGGGAAACACCTCCAAAGGTTGTGGAGAATGACCGAGCTAAGATCCTGTGGGACTTCCAGATACAGACTGACAGGATGGTGATGGACCAACCAGACAGTGGTGGTGGATAAGAAACGGAGCAGAGCCGTGGTGGTGGACATCACAATACCAAGCGATGGTAATATCAGGAAAAAGGAACCGCCTGTCAATCTCACGTTCCGTCCTCCCCTCACTCATGAACAAGACCCCGAGATACTTGAACTCCTCCACTTGAGGCAGGGACTCTCCACCCTCTCGGAGAGGGCAAGCCACCTTTTTCCGGTCGAGAACCATGGCCTCGGATTTGGAGGAGATGATCTTCATTCCAGCCGCTTCACACACGAGTCAAACTGCCCCAGTGCTGCAGGTCCTGGTTTGATGAAGACAACAGGACAACATCATCTGTGAACAGCAGAGATGATCCTGTGGTCCCCAAACCAGACTGTTCGACCCCTGACTGCACAGAGAAATTCTGTCCATAAATACAATGAACAGAACCGGTGACAGTTGCGGCCCTGGTGGAGTCCAACATGCACCGGGAATAGGTCTGACATACTGCCGGCAATGCAAACACAGCCCCTGCTCCGGTCATACAGGGACCGGACAGCCCTGCAAAGGGCCCCGGACCCCATACTCCCAGAGCACCCCCCACAGGACACCACGAGGGACACGGGTGAATGCCTTCTCCAAGTCCACAAAGCACATGTGGACTGGTTGGGCAAACTCCCATGAACCCTCGAGCACCCTATGGAGAGTGTAGAGCTGGTCCAGTGTTCCACGAATGGGACGAAAACCACAGTCGGATTTTCCTCTCCAGTCCCTGGCACAGACCGGGGAGGCTGAGAAGTGTGATTCCCCTGTAGTTGGAACACACCCTCCGGTCCCCCTTCTTATACAGAGGGACCAACACCCCGGTCTGCCAGTCCAGAGGTACTGTCCCCGACCGCCACGCAATGTTGAAGAGGCGTGTCAGCCAAGACCCACAACATCCAGAGACTTAAGGTACTCAGGATGGATCTCATCCAGCCATGGGCTTTATATTATGAATAGGATTTTTTTGAAGGACAAAATAGCAAAAAAAAAAAAAAAAAAAAAAATCAGGATCATGTTGAGCAGGTTCATACAAACATTTTAAGACCAAAATGTCAAGGCTCACTGCAGCAGGTACAGAGAGAGGAGCCACAAGATCCTAATGTAAGTCCATTGGAGCCAGAGTCAGAAGGAGCCGGAAGAGCCTCCTGGAGAACTTCCTATTTGGCACACGGCGGCTCCAGCGTTAGATCTGTCCACTCATATATACAGTCTATGGTTGTATGAAAGTGATGATGATAATGATGATGTATAGAAAATGTCTCATCAAAAAGTTGTGTAATCATATTGTGTCTAAATGTGTGTGTTTACATCCAACATCCAAATTTTATGTTAGCTACTTTTAAACTCTTTGAGTTATCTGACCAACTGCATGTGATGTTTATAATTAGTTTTACCCATATTGTTGATGTATTTCAGCAGGATAATAAAAAAACAAACAAAAAAACATGTATTTGGAGGAACACGGAGTATTACATGTGAATATTACAGTGAAATTGCAAGAAAACAACCAAACCGGGTAATTTTTGACCCACTTATGCATCTAAGGGTTAATGTGGGTAGGTCTTACAGCTTTGTAACTAGCATCATTTGATTCCCTGACCCTGAAAATGTGGGTTTAGCAGTTAAAATCAACATTTCAACTTATTCAGAGGCTGAGATATTCCAAAAGGATTTTTTGGCAGCCATTTAAAAAAAATCCAATATGGCCACCATAAAGAAATGTGGGCAAATGCAAACATTGATTTTCTGACTCCATTTACTATACCCTTTCCAAAAATATATAGGTTAGCAAATCCCCAAAAACTTCCCACTAAGGTCAAAAAATGACAATAAGGAACCGGACTATTCGGTATGTTGCAGACTGACCAACTGTTTGTGTCTCGCTCCTTCTGAGTCACAGACGCTACGAGAGACGCTCAGTTTAATGCCCCCAATGAATGGTACTGAAAACCTGGACATTTGCACCACTTTATAAAAACACATGACATGACGCAAAATACGGACATGTCCGGGTAAAAACGGACGTTTGTTCACCCTATATGATTGTATTTAACTGACCTTAGCTATGAACTATTCTTTCTCGAGACCTATGTAGCATGTTCCGGGTTGATGGGGGAAACCGGAGCGCCTGGAGAAATCCCATCCAGACCCGGGGAGAAACATGCAAATTCGACACAAAAAGACCCGGGCAACTCGGAGATTGAACCCTTCCTGCCTGTACCTGCAGCGTAGGCAGGTTTATATTTGCAGAGATAACTACGTTCTTACGCTTAAAGCTCACAATGAATTTAATTTATTATTATTATTTTTTTTATAAATGTAACTTTGAAATGAATATGCTACCAACTGATTGCAAAAACAAAACAAAAAACATCTCTAAACATAAACACATTTTTAATGTTTTGGCTAATGCCATTCTATGAACATAAGCACAAAAAATAAAATGGCAGATTTCACCTAAAATGCTGAACCTGCTCAGACTGCTGTGCAGACTGTTGCTGTGTCCTTGGAAAAGACACTTCACTCACTTTGCCTACAAATCAATCAGTCAAACTTTATGTATAGAGCCCTTTACAACTCTAAAGGTGACCAAAGATCTTTACAATAGAATAAACACAATATAAAAACATGCAAAAACATTACACAATGATACAGTATGTGTGACTGCTGGTGGTGGTGACAGGGGCCGATGGTACACATTGGCAGCCTTACTTCAGTCTGTCCCAGGGCAGATATAGCAGTTTTATTACTGTGTCCTTATTTGACCTAAATCAAAAACAAATCATGGTTTTGAAAGGGCAAAATAAACATGAACAGGGAGGTTCATTCTTGTTATGTAACTTTTATGCAAAATGATATGAGCATTTTTTGACCCCAGGCCTGCTCCAATGCTCCCAGAGTCATTCACATAAACTCCCTCACCACAATAGTACTTTGGCTCTCGGCTGGCCTGGGAACACCCCAGGGTCCCCTCAGAGGAGCTAGAGGAGGTGTCTGGGGAGAGGGGGTCTGTTCAGACTCTGCCCCGGATAAATGGAAGAAGAAGGTGGATGGATGCATGGATGTTCTTTTTAGTTTTAGATTCTATTTATTGAATTGATATTGATATTCAATTGATTATTTAATTGATACTTTGCATCTGATGTCATCAGCGGTCCCGAGAGGGAATGATGCTAACTTGAGGCATGGCTCTCTCTGAAGCTCCGTTACTTTAATCTGAGCTTTGTTTTAAGAACTGATTTAGTTGGAACAAGAACAGGTGAGAGTTTGTTCACATGTGCATTGTGTCACCATAGTAACTGATGAACATTAGACTATAGAGATACATGTAGAACACCTTCAGCCTGATGTCACTGCAAAGTATCAATTGATAAATCTAATTATTTTTTAAAACAAGTAAGTGCAGTAAAAACAACATGACTTACCTGGCACTGACCTGGCACAGACCTGGCACAGACCTGGCACAGCCCTGGCTCAAATCTGATTGAGATCTCTGGTCCTGCTGGTGTCTTGTTGAAACGTGCTGTGTGAACATGTGGGTTTGATAAACATCTGAGACACGGAACACTGACAATGAAAGAATAACGACGTGTACCGGTGAAGAATGCCAACTAACACGGTGATCTTTAACATTTACTCATTGCTCACAATAGAATAAATAAACTTTTTGCTTTCCAAGTTTTTCATGAGATGATTACAGCATGTTAAAAAATGTAATGAGTTACTTTGCATAACTCATTATGTTTTCAGTTTTTTAAACAGGCATTTTTTAAAGAACCTATATTTTCTGAACTTTACTACAATGTTGTTTCCTCATCAGAATCATATCTGGAGTTTGTTTCATTCACACATGCTTAACACACAAATCCTGCATATTTAGGCTAAATTCTCAGAAAACACCTTGTGATGTCATGTGATAGTACAATAAGTGCTCTTTTGTGTTTTAAAACTCCATATATATTCACTAGAATCATTTGTATAATCAGTCCTGGAAGTACCAATCTTTACTGAACTAAAGGTAAATGGTAGCTGTTGACTTGAAAACCATCACTGCATGACATCGTTAGGTGGAATAGAGCATTTTGAGCTTTGAAGATGTAGACAGACTCATAATAAAGATTTACTCAAACGTGTGAATGAAACAAAACACAACTCCAGGCCTGTTTCTGAAGATGACTTGAAGCTCTCAAGAGTCAAATTGGTGTAATATAGGACCTTTAACAATAAAAACACCTGTAACCCATTTTAATGCCATACACCTGAAAAACCACCAAACTAACTAATAATAATAAGACAAAAGTCAGGAGAAGATTTTTAAACATTAACCAGCAAAAATGTCATTTGTCCCTTTGAATTTTTTTTTTTTCAATTCAAATTTCTGTTTAAAGTTTAGTTTCACTTCCTGGTTTTGTCAGAGAGTAATTTCACTAAAGCTTTGTCCTTTGGACACTTCCTGGTTCAGACACTTCTCCTCTGCTCTCATGAAAACATATGTTCACTTTTACTTTTACTTTTTTTACAGATTTTATAAAGAGGACAAACCTGACAGACCGCTCAGGTAAGACAAAGGTAAGAAAATAATACTATGGTTATGAAGGAAGTTTTGGTGGTGAATGTTTTTAGACTTTAAGTATCTAGTATCTATGAGTATGTAGTAGTCACTGCTAGAGCACAGTGAGTGGATGACTTTTTGGAGATTAAAGTGCAAATGAAAAATTGTATTTAAAAATCTTCCCTAGTTTTTGTTCTGTTTATAATTTTATTTCCTGGTTGGACATGAGTAGCAGATACGACATACATAGAGGTAATTTCTTAACTGTTACCTAGCAACCATAACGTAGGGGGCCAAAAGTTGTCTCCAACACTGCTATTGACCTCTATAAAGGTGCACTGTGTAACTTTTTGGTTGGGGGGTCTGTCACCTGCTTGTTTGTATGGATATGTCATTGCTCTGCCTTGAATGTTCCACAATATAACTTTAAACAACTCTACTTTACATTTATTAAACTGCAGGTGGTTTTATAGCTTAAAAATGCCCAGAAAATCAGGCATTCTGGCTGAGAGCGGGGTCACCTCTCCACAGATCTGACCTGTAACTTGATCTGGTTTGGTCTCCATGAAGATAGAAAGGTTTAATGCCATATTGTGAAACATTCCAGACAAAGCAATAACATCATGAAGAAGAACATTTGACGGATCCTCCACTAGAAAAGTTACACAATGCACCTTTAAATGAAGATTAAAATTGTCAGAAAAATGATACTCTCAGCCCTAATTCCTGTATTTATTTTTTTTTTCAACTTTTTTCCCACAAACTGCCACTTAATTGATATAAAACTATGATAAATATTTCACAAAGGTACTATCCCACCAAAGCAATTAGAAAAACTGAATCTGAAAAACACAAAAACCTGTTATATTAACTTTAACCTTAATACCTCATATAGAATACTCATTGTTCCTGAACTGGGTGTGTATGAGCTGTACCATTTACAAACTGTAGACTTTCCCTTTAAAGACAAAATGACAAAACAACTGTGATGTAACTTCTGTTTTCAGCTCAAATGAAATGGCTCAAGAGGGAACAAGCCGAGGATACACTGATGCAGGTTTGTGTTTTTATTTTATCTTTAAACAGAACAAAAACACATTAAAATATTGTTAATAATTCCACTACAACAATTACTACTACTGCGACTATTACTACTAGAACTACTATGACTACTGCAGCTACTAGTACTACTATTATACTACTATACTACTACTATTACTACTACAGCAACAACAACTACATCTATATCTATTACTACTACATCTATTACTACAACAACAATACTACTACTACTGCTATTACTACTTGTACTACAACTACTACTACTACGGCTACTTCTACTACTGCCACTACTACTGTTACTGCTACTTCTACTATTACTACTACTACTACCACCACTACTGGAACAACAACAACTACTACTATACTACTACTACTATTACAATAAATAACTAAGCTTAGCTATTTTCTATAACCAACACTTCTCTAGTTCATTATTGTACCAAGGTCATTTGAAGATAAGGGCTCTGATCACAGCTGTGAACCTCATAGATATAAAAATATCAAGACAAATGCATGATATTCCAATTTAATCTCATCTAATCTAATAGTAAACTAACTAAAACTAAACAGGACAAAAACTACAGATAGGGATGATGTCATGACTTGTTAGCCAGATAAGACCCCAGATGGAGTCTGATTGGACAGCGCAATGTGCCAAGTGGCCTGGTTGGCCTGTGCATTAACGAAGAGGTGCTACGTCTAAACCATGGTAGTCTAGCACTATAGTTTGCGTATAAAAGTCATAGGCGTACACATCGAGTCTCTGCATGGGAATGTCGGCACAGACTCCTTGTTCAATGGCTTTCTAATCAAATTCAAATTCAATTCAAATTTAAAAAGTGTTTCCACATGAATATATGGAAATTTTAAATGATTTTCTCATTCTCAGTCTTCTAAATTAAATAATAATAAAATAAAAGGAAAGGAAAAGTTCAAAGTTCTTATTTAGGGAGAAGCAGATTCCTAGCTTCCTCTCCGCCTGGTGGTTAGAGAGGGAGAGAGAGCGTTTAGCATCCTAACAGCCTGATGGAGTCTGGTGGTGTGGGAACTCAAGCACCTGTACCTCCTTCCAGAGGGCAGGAGACTGAAGCGATTGTGTGTGGGGTGACTTGCATCACTCACAATTCTGATGGCTTTGCGAGTGAGGCAGGTGGTATATATATGTATATGTATGTATGTATAGGTGGTTTTGCAGGGAGAGGAGTGTTGCACCAGTGATCTTCCTGGCTGTGTTCACTCTGCACTGCAGAGCTCTCCTGTTGTGGTCAGTGCAGTGCTGATATGGCAATAAGTATATTAACTACTACTACTACTACTACTACTGATATAAAATAAGTAACACATAAACAAAAAATTGGTAGTGATTCTCCTGTTATAAATAATGTGAGCTAAAATATGCCTCTAAATGTAATGGTGTATTTAAAGCCATTGTATGTAACATTTAGTCAAAAATAGAGTTCAATCAAAGCATGTTTCTTTGTATGTTGTTATTAGGGGTGTAACGATATCCAAGTCTGATGATACAATATCATCACAGTATGAACCTCACAGTACGGTATTTACTGTGATATCGTGGGAAAGATCACGATATGGTGGGGAGGCTCACGATTAGGGATGTAACAATATCCAACTCTCATGGTATGATATTTATTGTGATATTTTGTGGAGGTTAAACAGCTAAAACTGTTATATGCTACTTTTTCCTCTTAAATTCCTTGACAAGACTTAATCCAAAGTACTAAAACTTAAAAGTGCTTAGAACTGTTATTTCTTCTTGTAGTCTACACTGAAATGGAGCAAAGGATCATGGTCTATGTAGTTCCCTTTGTCTTTTTTAGCTATTGCTGCACTATAACTCTTAATTTAAGCAAAGAGACTTGTAATATGATATATTGTGATGGTCCACGATATTATTGTGAGAACTTTGATGATACAATATCACGATATTTAGGTTATTGTTACATCCCTAGTTGTTATGGTGATGGAAAACAATTACTGTATGCAGGCTTGCATCTCCACAAACCTGACTCTTATGTTTTTTTCAAGTCTAATTTTCTGCACAATTATCATTATTTTTTTTTATCAGATCAAATCTCCCAAACGCTTTTTTCAGAACCTAAAACACAACAATCAAATATTTTCTGCCCATGCTATAGTCTCTATACATAAATACATAAATACTGCCCACTCTTACCACAGTCTTTAAACTGAAGACACAAAGAACCAAACTGAATACAGAGAGATCACTATATGAAGAGATTTTATAGACAGGCACAGAAGCACTAGACACAGATAAGGGAGATAAGATAAGCCTTCATTGCCACCAAATAGAGGATGTGGAGAGCAAAGAAAGGTGAGACTCAAAGCAGAGCATCAAAAACAAGTGGAGCAGCATTTTTAAAACAATAAAGGTAACATGGTGATCAAAATATGTTATGTACTAGCAGTTAATACCCCATAGATGTAAAATGCCTTCTCTTTAAGTGCGTTTGGTGCAGCCCTGATCCCTAACATTGGTAACGTGTTTATTTCTTTGGTTTAAAATTTGTGTATCATGTATTTCTGTTAAGGCCTGATGTGTCCCTACTCCAGTCTGACCACCAAAGAACTGCAGCAGAACTGGCGAGAGGAGAAGAGACAAGAGCGCCCCCGCTGGCTGCTGTTTGAACTGCCCTCACACAGGGTCAGAGAGACGGTATTCAGCAGACATGTGGTCAGTCTATCATTTTATTAATTTAATTTAAAAATTTTAAAAATGCTTCAGTCTTATATAGTGCCTTTCAAAGCTTCAAAGTTGCTTTACAATTATGTGCATAATTCATTCACTTGTAAATGTGATCGAAGCAGAAAAGTTGGTGAAAAAAGGTGAATAAAAACGTCTTTTGCACATGGTATGGTGGGAGGGACTTTGGACACTGGGAGAGGACAACACAGAGGAGACTCAGGAGGAGAGGAAATGGTGAAATGAAGTGAATTTAAAGTGGACATATTCTACAGAATCAACTCAGAGCTTTTAAGCATGTTAAAATTCTTTCCTATAAAAAAGTGAAAAAATGCATAGTACACTCAGATGACCAATGTCCAAAAGCTTTTGTTAATTTTTAAATTACGTTTAAGGAAAAAGCCTTTGACAGATCATTTTTCTTGCTTTGAACCACAGTATACAAAATGGTTGCCAGTTCATGTGCTCATATCTTCCACCATCGAATGGGAGGTCCCAAAGTGAGGTCACCCACTACACCACATGACCATGTATCATGTGGTGTAGTGCCTTCAGTGCCCCTCAGGGTGGTTCTATGTGGGCCTCACCAAAACGAGGGTCAGAGATAGAGTGGCTGAGCACAAATATGCCAATCACTCCAGAAACCTAAATTATCCAATGGCTAGCCATTATATGGAAGCTCACCATGCACATGACTCCACCCTGAAAGTATATGGATTTGAAGTAATCACACTGGATGCCAGAGGTGTGGACAAAATCCAGCACCTGAAGCAAAGAGAGGCCTATTGGATTTTTGTTCTCAAGGCCAAGGAGTACCCAGGTCTAAATGAAGACTTTGATTTCTTCTGCTACCTATAGCCTCAATATATATGGAAATGCTCAACAAAACTATCTGCCCAAAGTAAAAACAGTCCCTGTTAAAACTATCTGTCTGCCCTCTAGTGCTCAAAGTAAAAATGGTTCCTGCCAAAATAAAATGACTGCCCTCTAGTGCCCTTAATTGTCCTGAAGCTAAGACGTTACCCCTTGTGGCCAGTCAGAAGAACTGAATGAGTAAAGCCTTCACCCTGCACATCTGAAGTGTGTGAGCTCCTAACATAGCTCCTCACCTCTCATTCATAATCACACCCTGAACAGGGCGCAAGCCGGCACATGTCAAAGTGTTTGAAATGTTTCCTGCCCACCCACAATAAAGGCTTTTAAATATTTAGTAACTAAGTGAATACCTGATATTTTTCTTTTTCTCAGTTCCTGGCCTGGAGTTGTGTTTTGTTGCATTCACATATCCTGCATATTTAGTTCTCTCAAACGGAAAACTCTCTGTCCCACCTTGTGATGTCATGTGGCAATGCAAGATGTGCTACATTGGTTTTTGTTTTTTCAAACTCCATACACCTTCACTAAAATAATTTTGAAGATTTCATCCATGGAACTTCACATCTGTACTGAACTAAAGGTAAAAGGTAAATGTTATCTTAAAAACTACCACTACATGACATCATGAGGTGGAACAGAGCATTTTGAGCATTGGAGATGCAGACAGACTAATAATGCAGGAACATGTGTGGAAAAAAACAACAACAAAAAACAAAAAATCACAACTTCTAACATAGCCTAACACTCACAAGAGTCTTCTTTTTTTTTTTTTTTTTTTTTTTTTTTTTTTTTGTAATAGAGAACCTTTAACTCTCTTCTTTTACCATGACGCATTTAACAGTGTCTCTTTGTGTCTCAGGTTTACGAGATTGTCATCATGCGCTCTGGCAGCTTCGACTCTCACCGCGTCTCCATCGAACGCCGCTACAGCGACTTCGCCAAACTCCACCAAACTCTGCTGGACGAATTCCAAGAAGAACTCGACGAAATCCTGCTCCCAAAAAAACTCCTCACTGGCAATTTCAACCCGGAGCAACTGCTGGAACGCCGGCTAGCACTACAAGACTACATCGCTAAACTGTACGCTAAAAGATGTGTGCGCTACTCTGAACACTTCGCTAACTTTTTCACCCATCAAGAAATGAAAAAAGCGCATAATTTACTACGCGCAGGACAGTTCACACAGAGTTTAGAGTTGCTGCAGCTCGTGTTGGAGATCCAGGAGAAACTAGCTCCGTGGCAAAGCCCTACCTTTATGGTGCCTACATTAGCGGCTTTGGCGGTTTGTCACAGGGACTTGGAGAAGCCGGAGGAGGCCTACGAATCTGCGCACCGAGCCCTGCCTGCCGTGAGGAGGTACCGGCTCAATGCGATGGAGTACCACGCGCCCCTGCTGCAGATGCTGGTGGATTTGGGGTACTCTTTGGGGCGCCCCGTGGGTCAAATGCAAGAGGAACTGATGGCTTTGAGGGACGCGGAGAGAGGGAGGGTGGACACGAGGTCGCTGAAGGAGATAGTGGTGCATAAGTTTGTTTGAAAGGATTGTGATCTGCCCGTTATAATTAGGGCTGGGTATCATTAAGAAGTTGCCGATACGATGCATACCTCGATACATAGGTCATGATATGATACATATCTTGATACAGTGCACTTTTGATTCGATGCAATATATTTCAAATCGGTTACACCCTTATCATCAGAAAGCCCACTAGTCAGAAAATCATTACCTCTTCTATTGGTTTGTCAGCAACATTTCTCTTGAACAATTGAATGTATATTTGATGAAAGCAACAGGGAATAATCCCTGGATATCAGGGAAGAATCAGTAAACTTTTGGATGTATACCAATTAAAAATTCCTGCAACATCAACATTTTAGAGATATTGACAGGAAAACGCAAAATCATGCATAACAGCATTAGCTAAGACCAGCATGACTTAATTTGTTGGTTTACAAACCCACCAATGCTATATTAAAAGAAAAAGATTTAAAATAAAATTGAAATGAAGATTGTAGAGCTCGAATTACTGAACATTTTGCAAGTTGTTGCCTGAAAATTAGACATTTATTATCCCAGCAGTCACCTCCAGTCTCTCTCTCTAAAACCTTCAAATCAGGCAAGAAATCTAGGGGTAATAATGGACTCAGACTTGAACTTTAACAGTCACATAAAATCAATAACATCTGCAGCCTTTTACCATCTAAAAAACATAGCAAAAATCAAAGGTTTACTGTCTAAATCAGACTTGGAGAAACTTATCCATGCGTTTGTCTCCAGTAGATTAGACTACTGTAATGGTCTGCTCACTGGTCTCTCCAAACGAGCTGTGAGACGCTGCAGAACATCCAGAACGCTGCAGCTCGGGTCCTTACTCGAACTAGGAAGTACGAGCACATAAGTCCTGTGCTCAGGTCTCTGCACTGACTTCCTGTGCCTCAGAGAATAGACTTTAAAGCAGCTCTGCTTGTGTACAAGTCTCTCCATGGCCGAGCACCAAAGTACATCTGTGACATGTTAGTGTCATATGAACCATCTCGCACTCTGAGGACCTCAGGGACCGACCTCCTGCTGGTGCCCAGAGTCAGAACTAAACAAGGGGAGTCAGCGTTTCAGGTTCATGCAGCTAAAACCTGGAACAGTCTTCCTGAACATGTGAGACAGGCCTCTTCTGTGACGCTGTTTAAATCCAGACTCAAAACATTTCTGTTTAACTGTGCATATAACTGAAAGGTTTTCATTCCGCACTCTTCTCTCCAATTTATGTCTCTCTTTTTAATTTTAATCTTCATGATTATTTATGTTTTGATTTGTTTTTATTATGATTTTAATGTATTTCTTATTCTGTAAAGCACTTTGAATTACTTTGTGTACGAATTGTGCTATACAAATAAACTTGCCTTGCCTTGCCTTGCCTTGCCTTACACTTCAGACAGCCATTTCCACCCAAATCATTATTTCCTCAAACATTTTTGCTGTATTTTAAGGGTTTAGTATATTTATTACTTTTAATATTTACTTTTTCAAATATTTAAAACTTGAAATACAATTTCATTTGTAACAATTTGTAACACTACCTGAACATGGATTTTCTGACTAGAGGGTCTTCTGATGATAAGGCTGACCCCTTTCAAATCAATTCGATATGGTTCACTTAAAATAAATGCTAAATCATGGCTGATACTAAAAGGCTTTTATGAAACTGCTTTTTGTGCAAAGTAAATATGAAACATGCACATTTTCATTCATTCATTCATTTTATTTGTTTGAGCAAAGTACAACAGAATTCAAAAACAGGGATGCGTATATGAACATATTTGGGACCTGGATGAAGTTTTAAAAACTTATAGCACCCTACCCCAATTATTTTACATAATCACGTGGTTCACACTTTTTTTTAATGCCTTTGGAGTGTTTACCTGTCGTATGCATTGCATAAATATACACACATACTGTACATACATACATATCATATCATACATAAGTTATCCAGTACATATATTCAGTATAAATATATGTACACATATGCATAACACACATATACATACATGCAGAAATGTATTTTCATTCATGGTCGTACTAACTAATAATAATGTTAAAGTAGGCATAAAGTTTATCATTTATGATTGTGCAAAATAAACGAGAGAATGAGAATGAAAAATTTAAGGATTTTTTTGTTTTCGTTTATGGTCGTACAAACTAATAATTGGAATGAAGAAGGCATAAACGTTTATCGTTTATAATTGAAAATGTCAAATGTGTCGCATAAACGAGTTTCCTTCCTCTAAACAAGCAACAAAACTGTAGCTCTGTAACAAAATAATTTAGTAAAATATACCAAAAAAAAAACTCTTGGCGATATATCGAAACAGCAGTCCCCGATATTGATTCTGTATCATCACATTAAACGATATGATATATTGATATTTCGATATTTTTGCACACCCCTAGTAGTAGTAGTTTCTCCGTCAACAGAGTACCTGGAATTTTGTTTCAATTGCACATTGGAGCTTTCTACCATGTTATAACATGGCTCCCTCATAAAAAACATGCCTGAAGAGGTTTTAAATGTCATCCATGCATGTTTGAGTAATCTAGAGATCTCTCCTGAGCTCTATTCAACCCTCCTTATGGTTAGCTGTAAGATTGTGTGCAATGCTCTGCCCACAAGACCACGTTAACCATGTTCCAACACAACAATTGTCCATACAGTATACAAAAGCATAATACAAAACTGTTCACTGCAACTTGACAAACATGATGTGATGTGCAGCAGTTTCATAGCAGGATGCATGCCGATTGTGTTGTAATAGTGCTCTGGAGGGGGAGTGACTTCATGAGGAGAGTAAAGGTAAGGGAGACTCAGAGCATCAAAAACAAAAGTGAAACAAAACATGCTAAAATGCTGTTTTTGGTGAAACCAATGGCGATAGCATTTTCAAAACAGTAAAAGGTAAAAGGCTGGGAGAATGGAGTCCAGTGTCTTTTGCTCAGTGCTGTCATGTCCCTGTATGACCGGAGCAGGCACCCTGGTCTCTGCAGAAAGTCAGACCTGTTCCCAGTGCATGTTTAGTCCTGGTTCAGACCTGGTTTAGGCCTAGTTTAGTCCTGTTCAGACCTGGTTTAGTCCTGGTTCAGACTTGATCTGGTAGAGGTCCCCTACCTGCTAAGCCTCATTGAAATGTTATTGCTTTGCTTAGAATGTTCCACAGTATGGCATTAAACATATCCATGTCTTGCAAGTGCTTTTATTGCTCCATTGAGATAAAAAGTCACATAGTGGACCAGCAAATGCATTGTTTCTTCAGAGCTCAGTATGTTTGATCTCATCTGACGATGTCATTAGGAGCAGAAGCATATATCATACTATACCAGTGTTCTCGGCCTACGTAGCCATTAATATCTACGGCTTTTGAGGACCACCAAAAGACATGTTCCACAAATTTTTCCACAAATTTTAGATTTTTTGTCAGTGTTGGTTTGGATTTTGTTAAAAAAATAAGATTTTTTATAGCAACAAGTTTTCATATTAAGTACTGAGCACAAAAGATTTGGCACATATGCTCGATGAAAGGACAACAACTTAACATTCCAAGTTTCCAAATATATTTCACCTTAGCTTAATTCGCACTACTCTCTTTTCTCTTTTAATGAAAAATTTATGATTATTCATATTTTGATTAGTTTGTATTGTGATTTTAATGTCTTTGTTCTGTAAAGCACATTAAATTACTTTGTGTAAGACTTGTGCTACAGTACAAATAAACTTGCCTTGTCACCAGCAGGTGGCACCCTTGTACTCTCTGTAGTGACTCACGACTTGATTTAAAGGTTGTATGGAGGATTTTTTTTTGTTTCAAGTTGTCAATGATAGCATTATAGAGGTGCAGTAGCCTTGTAATTATGATGACCAAAAAAAAGAGAATAAAAATTCATCAACTCTGGACGTGGTGGGGCTAAACATTTGCCAATAGATAAAGACACTGCCTCGTTATCTGTTAGCTGACAGGCTGTCAATCAATCTCCCTACGTTTCTAGCGTAACTGACTTGCCTGCGCGCCGCCGGTACGTGGTTTACGTACGCCTGTCACGCAGTCCACAGACGCAAGACGCACAGACGCTGTTTACTCCACCAACGCAACAGTTCGTAGCGGCTTTTTTTGACCTATATCTTCCTGGCAGTTAGCACAAAGTTTGTTGCAATGGCGACAAGAATCCAGGAGCAGTTAGCCGCAAAATAAAGTCCGTTTTTGAGGTCGCTGAAAGAAGAAGACAAGGGGAAAAGCAGCGAAGCCAAACTAAGGTGATTCTTGAAGATTCATTACAGCGATGGCGCAACTGAAGCAGACGCAGGGTCTAAAGACTGACGCATTGGTCGCCAAATTACTCCTGGACAGGTCACTTCTGCTTATTATGAAAACGTACTTTATTTCCAAGAGCTAGTCAAACGTTTTTCAGGACACGAAAGCGATATCCTATGTCTGAAAACGTAATTTTCAAGGCAAAGAAAGAGTCCGCTTGCTGCTGCGTGTTGTAGCTAGTTCATTCGCACTGAATCTCCGCGCAACCTTCTCTGCTCCCCTTTCCTGCTCCTGTCCCCGCTGCCCGATCCGCTCTTCCCCCTGCTCCTCACTTCTCCGGGCACGGAATCTCCGCGCACCGCTCCCCTCTCCTCTCTCCTCTCCCCGCTCCCTGCTCCGATCTTCTCCCTGCTCCTCACTTCTCGTCCGCGAACGAAATGTCCGCACACCCGCTCCCCCCGCTCCTCACTTCTCCGCCTTGCCTAACCAACACTGTAGTTAGTTAGTTAGTTAGTTAGCAACATTTGAAAAAGGACAAACAGTCGCTGGATTTCTCTTTCCTTGGAAAATCCTCTATACAACCTTTAAGATTCTGACAAGGCCTGTCACAATAACACAATTGCGATATATTGCACACACACACCTACTTGTTTAGAGTTTCTGTTAGTTAGCCAGGTCTGTTGACTTGCACTAAGTGGAGATTGTGCCTGAGTCATATTAGCGGACTCATTCAGGCCCCTGATGGGTGCTTTCATACATCTGAGCCTGACCCAGCTATCACTATTGTTTTAGTTGTTTTGATTTAGGTCTGAGGATGGAGTTGTAAATAGGAGACAAATGATATCTGAGCCCTCCATTTCTGTTCAAAGATGGATTGTCTTTCCTAACAAAAATAGTCTCTGTAACTCCCCTCTTAAATTTTTTTTTTTCTCTGGCTAAGATCTGCACCTCACTATCCTCAGAGAAGTGGTAAGTGGCTTTCAGATGGAGATGTACAGCAGGCTGTCTGTATTGGTACATCCTCGTTTAATGGATGAGGTTTGATGAGCTGCGAAATGTATTTGATCAAAAAGTTGGACAGAATTGAATGTCTCCTTTGAATTTTACCGTGGCGACTGAGGGATTTCACAAAAACCTTAAAGAAGGTTCATCTTAAATCTAAATGCACAATACAAGTACAAACTATTTTCAGTGTAGAACAATATATAATATATAAGCACAATATTACAGTGAATAAAAACATAAAGTCCTATAGACATCAAGTATTTTGTCTGATAAACTGTGGGTTCCTCCCTAACTGGCCTTTATATTAAAAAGGCCCATACTACGCATTTTCCAGAAATGCCATGATTAAAAAAATGAATGGAAATGTAATTACTTCTGGAACCGGGGTGGCCGTCACTGCTGAGCTCCATAGCAAGTGATTTACTGAACTATAGGCTACTGAACAGTGATAATGCTTTACATTTATGGCAAACTGCCCATATCTTATATTGGTATTATATTGTCTAAAAACACATGATATTATCATTGCCAAGAGCCGTCTAATCAGACAGTCTCCTGAAACTAATCTGAAACTTGCTGTGCTTAATATCAGCTCTTTATCTAACAAATCACTTTTTAATTAATGATTTTAATCTTGACATTATTTTTTTAACCGAAACACGGCTTGACAAAAACACAGGTCATGCAGCGCAAATGGAATCAAATGGTCCCAATTTCAAATTTGAATCTGAAACACAGGTAAACAAAATGGGTAGAGATGTGTGTGCATTTGTAGAGATCATTTGGTTACACACAGGTTGCCATACTCTACATATTCATATACAAACCTCCTCAGCACTGTCAAAGTTTTATTGATGATTTTATTGAGATGCTTTAAGTCATTTACACCAACTTTGATGGTTTGGTCATTACAGGTGATTTTAATGTACATGTGGATAATGTGTGTGATGAAAATGCCAAAGAACTCAGTGTTGTCCTTCAAACTTTTGGTCTGACTCAGCAGGTCACTCACAACAGAGGGCACACCTGCTCATTACAAAAGGTGTAAATACTTCAGATGTCAATGAGGTTGATGTTGCTCTGTCTGATGATTTCTGTGTCTT